TTAGGGGTGACATCGTCAGGTTTCCGCTTGTCCACGGCTACATTGAAATTTAGTCCCTTTTCTAATACACTTATTTCTGTAGGAATTAATATATGTGCTGAGAAATTGATAACCCACTTTGTTTTATCGATGGCCGTTGACTATGGATTGTTGACTTCCTCATTCTGAGATGAAGATTTCTCCTTTAATAATTTGTTGAACTTTTTGATTTGACTATTTTTTGACTTTTTGAAAGTTGCTGATTTCGCAATGCTAGATGACTGTTTATAAGATCATAATCTACATTGGTAACTATTCCTTTTTAGCTTTAGTTTTAATTGCTCAATTTGACATCTGATATGTTGCAACTTTTTAACGATTCTGTAGATCTCTTCTTTCAGGCATAATTTTTGAAGGCTTTCTATTCTGCTTCTAACTCTGTCCGTTGGAATCGGAGCTCGTAGATGTAGATATTTAGGAATGATTTCATTTTTTAAGCATCGAATGTTAAAAGTGCGATGATTTTCATATCTTACTTCAGTTTGTGAAAGTCGAGTGAGTTTATTGATAAGTATTCGTAAAGGAAGACCATAAGTCATTAATATATGTGTAAAACTTGGGCACTGTGGTAGTAAATAATTCCATATTAGTTTGTTTATTGGATGTATCACACAGTGAAACAGAATTATTTACTGGATGACGTTTCACTGTGTGATACGTCTAATAAACAAACGAATATGGAATTATTTACTAGCACAGTGCCCAAGTTTTACACATATATTCAATAAGAGTCAGCAAAACTATCCGAATCGTTTCAAAGGAAGCTGCATATATTAGTCTGCCAGTGAGAGATGACAAACAAGAAGTGGTTAATGAAGAATCGTTCAAGTAATTCCATTACGGATAATATTTTATTTCGATAAATCCCTCAGTGTTGTACAGTTATATTAACTGATGACGTTTCGAGCACAAACTTTTTTCTTTCATTTATATACATATGTGGAATCGATTAGATATTGGATTAAAAATCAATGTGAGATAATGTACATTCAGAAATAATAGTACGAGTTATACTCTACCACAGTGCCCAAGTTTTATACTTATATCACCGTTCAAACTATTATAAGAACTTATTATGCTTCGAAGCTTGTATTCCGTAACACCTCAGGGCAGCTGCTTCAACAGTCTGAAAAAGATTGGTCGCCGAACTGCATCAACCATAATTCATTATAGTGCTTCGGTGGCACAGCGGTTAGGAAGCTCGCTGATCATGTATGTGGTCCGGGGTTCGAACCCGGCCGACGCAGACACGGTATCGGTAGTCGGCCGGTTAAATTTGGGCTACCGATATCATAAGCTGAAAATTCCATAATTGTACCAAAATGCTGGGTGGAATGAAGCTATAATAATAAATTAAATTAAACTTAAAAATTCATTATAATCCTAATTTCTCATATCCTTCCTCTTTATGTATCATAACTTGACCTGTAAGACATTTTCAGCTGTTGTTTGGCATGATTTATTCACTGCAGTTAATTTACTGGTCATACATCTCCTCGTGTACAACACTGTATTTAGAGCACTGAACTGAGGAGGTCTAACGGAAATTGATGGATTCATTAAATAATGCTTTATTAGCATTATTTGTTTTGTCTTTTAATATATGAATATCTTTCTTAACGATGACTTTTAAGCCATGACACATTTCTAAACAGATAATTTCGTATTTTCCAATATTTAATCATTTCGAGTTTCTACCAGGTCTGAAACAACCTTTCAAACACAACGCATAATTTCACTCAAATCGATTGTTTTATGAAAATCTCATTTGAAAGAAGTGAAAAAAACGAAAGAAATATTTCCAATTAATCATATGAAACTGTCAGAGCGCAAATGTTAATTGGCTCAGTTTTGAGAAATAAAATTTATGTTGTGTTCTAACCATTTGTTCTTCTCTGTTTTATGTGCACATATGTGTGCCGTTTGCCAATCTCTTATACGTCAATAAAAAGTGAATTATCTTGAAATATAAATGTGAAAGTTAAATACGCATAGATTATAGTTTAATTTTAAGCATAACTTTTTGTGTACTGAGTGCTTTAAGTGAGTTCCTCAATCATTTGTAAAATCATCTTGCCATTAACTTATACACTAATCTTGACAAATTTATCACCAGGCTTTCATTAAAGTTATTTGACATTTTATTGGTGAATTTCAGGCGTGAAATCAATTACTCACAGTGATAATTGTTGAACTGGTCATAGATATATCATTTTAATGGGATTTACCACTTGTTATGTAGACTTACTTTATTAGTGAGACAGCAACAAAAATTCCGTAGTTAGTAACAGCCCAGGGCTACTAACTTTAAAATAAGTTTCTCGTCGTTCTTTTGAGAAGAAATAATTGATAGTGTCAAAGAATCATTCAACCGTAAACTTTAGATCACTGTTGTGCTATATCATGAGATGATAGACCAGTAAGTTACCACTTACTGATGGAATTGTCACATATTTGTTTAGAAATCTTAATATTACGTGTTCAGCTCTGGAGGTCATACCAAAAATTAAGATCTTTTCAGTAGTAGAATCTCGTGGTGCGGTCAGTGGAGCATCAGTGGCACAGCTGCTTTTAGAAATCACTTTTTCAGTTCAACTTCAATTGTAATATCATCACATAAAACAAATGTACCTATTTGTGAATGACTTATCTTCGGTTTATGTTATGCAGAACTTCAGATTTATATTTTACCCTGTTACATCCTATTAATAGAGAAAATTTGTAGCTCAGGTGGATGATTTGCAATTAATAGTGTTCTCTGAGCTGGTTGGTTTAGTTGCGGAGCTTTCGTCGTCCAGAAAGTTTAAAATCCAAGTCAATAGAAAATGGTCAATACATATGTAAAGATGGTTACTGGGAGACGCAGTTATATCACTCATGAAGAAATTTAAATCATTTCAGTTTATGCTAAATGTTGCGCTGAAGATGTTGTCCAGAAGGACGACGAGAGCTCAGCAACTAAACCAGCTCAAAGAACACTATTAATTGCACATCCTATTAATTTTTCTATACAAATCTCGTAGGACATATAAATCAGTCATAAGTGAAATTATTAGCAATGTGAATATTTATAATTACTATGTTACAATTTGATATATGCTATTGAAGTACTTTTAACATTTATCTACATAAAGTATACTCATAAGATTTGAAAATCTTTACATTTTTATGAATACAACAATAAATTATTATTGATTACAAATGAGAATGAAGATAATTGTATCTTCAAGTAATTTTAGCCTTTAGTTGTGAATAAAGTTAATTATTTCAATGGTCTCAACGTTTCAGTAGTTATATAGTTGACTATAACAGCAGGTGATTAATTGAATTCTTCCAAAACCTTTGTAAGTCGTGCTAGACACTCAACTTCCGATAAACGGGTCATAATTATCAATCACAAGTGCACAGTGATGATGTAATGCCACAAAAAATAGGTGGAAGTCTTGTTTTTATCGTATCACATACAGATTTTTGCCAATGATATATATATATATATATATATATATATATTCATTAAACACAGTATAAACTTTAAATGTTGTCTTGAAAACTGTCATGACCTGAAGTTATGTTAAATTCACTTCATACTTCTACGGTGGATTGCAGAATATGCACGAAACAGACGCCTATCAAAACTGACTTTAATACACTAGCAGTTGAGATGAAGTCACTGGAAAACCCTGCTCAACACTCATAGGCAGGAAGTATTTCCAACCTCCTAACTAAGGTGGCTTTGGAGATTTTCACCTGATTCACTCACTCTTAAGTCAGAAAGTTTACGTATAATGCATTCAATTATTATCTTATCCAGGCTTAGCTGAATAATGTGTCCGAATCGGTCAAAAGAAGACAGTTCATATACCTGTCTAGTTTTTTAAACTGATAGAAATCTATGAGCCTATCTTAATAGAGAAACAATCAAATTACTTAAATAAGTTTGTACTAAAAAAACTTTCTGTTTGAAAGCCAGTTCTACAGTATACTTAGGCAGGTTGCCTGTTAACTCTTAAAAGATAAAAATACTAATGCATCATATTTTATATTATGATGTTTTGTGAACGGTATACGATCAGTATTTTGTTTCATAATAATTTTACTCTCTCATGTTGATTGGTATGTTATGAATAAGAGTTACTAATTTATATGTAAAATTTGGGCAATCAGGTATTGTATAATTCCATCTTCGTATGTTTACTACATATATCACGCGCACGTCAAATTTTACTTCATTTGAAAAATCAGAAAAATGAATGAGTTCGAAACATCACTCAACGAATAATTCAGTTTCAGGATGCGATACATCTAATAAATGAACTAATATCGAGGGCATATTATCACTTAAAATTTATTTGAGGTCCAAAAACTATAATCTTTGCCTGCAATTCATACGTCATCCTATAAATCACTTGTTTCCTGAGTTTATCCTTATTGTAATGACTGCTCATGTTAGCCTTAAAGCTTAAATTCAACGTACATCATCTTAGTTGACTTAGTTTTATTGAGGCATGCTTTTATTGAGTAACGGCAGTAGTGAAACATCTGTAAAATCATTGATTAATGCTGAAAAATTTAAAGTGTTACTGAGCTGACTCTGGGAACACTGTTATTCACTGGGGTATAAATAAACAAATTTAGTTTTTCTCCAGAAGAACAAGACGTACTTCTGAGATCTGAATGTTGACCACTATCAAAAATCTTTTAAAACTGTCGTCACCTGAATGATCCGAAGCACCTCTCGAGATGGTGTTTGGTAACTACGTCAATATAAAGTGGAATTCCGAGAAAAGGGTCATACGTTTTGAGTAGATCGAAATGATTCGAAAAACCCTATTTTGGTGCAGGTGGTCTTATTCAACTCCCTGAAAGATACAAATGGAAGCACTTCCAGCTTTATTTGACATTTTCTTTTCATATATTTTTCTTATGAATACTACTGAATTTTCATTTGTAGTCTATACAAAATGGCTGTTATGTGCGTACTTGAACAAGAATTCGATACTATCGATAAAAATCATGATGGATACCTGAGTAGGAATGAAATTATGAACTGTTTAGAACGATTTGGTTTCGAAAGAGATAAAGCAAGAGTAAGTGATTGGCAGTAAATTCTATTTGAATAAATGATACGACGATATATAACTTTGATTTATTCCATTTGATATGCAGAAACCTGATATGTGAAGTGAATGACACTTTTAGTTTCCAGTTGGGCGAAATAACTAAATGATTATGACAGCTTGTGCATAACAATTCTCTCACTCATGACAGTTATTTTGAGCCATATGCAACAGGTATTGGTGACTGCTATGAATTTCTTATTTTTGTATGATACAGAGAAACCAGGACTAATTGGACATTACAAATTATTTCGAAACAATTCCGGACATAAATCAGATTTTATCGACATTTTGTCGCATATCCACAAATACCCCGGCATTTCACTGGTTTTACCATTTAACTATCTCCGAATGGCCTTATGTTTGTTAACATGATAACCATGCAGCTAACCTACTGTAACAATCAGCAGCTCTGTCTGCATTGGACTTAGAATTGTGATGAGAACAGAACCAATACAAATATGAATTCTTAATAAAACATTTCGGCACACCTTTCTGAACCCACATGATCAACTGTTGAAACTACTAGTCAGAGATTTTAGACTCTTGAATACTTTTGGATATGACTACATGTCAACAGATGACATCAAAGTTGACTGAAATTTCCGCAAGTTCTTGCGACCGCTTGTCATGAATCTGATGTGATATGGCACTACACTATTTAGCTTTATTCCTGAGACTAAATTGGATGGTAAATTCTCATTTCAACAGCAAGATAAATTAGAACTGCTGAGTTTATATTTATTAAGATACCTCAATTGAAATTACAAATAATGAATAAAAATTAAGAATACACATGGAGTAATTGTTCTTCACTTCAAAAAACACAGTAAAGCTGCGAACATGTTGAAAAGTACTCCTTTGTCAACCTGCTCGTGGCTCCATTCGGTCATAATTTTTTACACATAAGCCAAAATTAAAATATTGAGGATAAGATAATAGCGTTATCTTACTAAATTAGAAGTTGGCATTTTTTCAGCTTCGTAAGTGACTTTTTTGGACGCAGAGTCATGACTGATCTACCACAGTTATTGCATTAAAGTCATATGAAGTTTACGAATTTCTGCGCCAAAAACGAACCATATCTGATCAGGCCAAGAAATGAGTGAAATGTAAAATCATTCGCTGATGGTAGTACATAAGTGGTGGACTTAACGGTTTCTAGATTATATCTGCAATTATGTTTATTAATTAGTGAATTCAGGATATTTATTACATCTGATTCATTATGGTTTCATTCATAATCACAGTTACTAATGAGACTTAGTATAGAATTTGTGTGCAAGCGTGTGCTTTTCAAGTAATTTGGAAACAGTAACCACGCAATCAGGATAACAGACGAAAAAGCATGTTTATATTCTGTTGTTGAGTTTGACTTGATATAATTCACGATATGTTGTAATTCTCGGATTCTGAGTGCTTATTTAGTGGGATTTGTAGGTGTTCATGACAGATATCGAACTCTGGGAATACTAATCCACCATTAAACTTACCAAGTATCAAAGTATGCACTGGTCTTGAATAATGAAATATTTTTCAGGCACTGTTTAATGGAATAAGATGTCCAGTTTGAAACGTTTTTTTTTGGTTACCTGAACGACAACACCCGTTGCAACTCTGTTAAAATGATCACATTTTAGGAAAACTCCGACCTTCTGAAGTCATTTTACCCCACCACTTTTGAAACTGATAGCCACATAATGAAGGAAAAGTTTATTATGCATACTTAGTGTAATAACTGTCAAAGAGGAGCATTCTATCTCTAAATTAATTACATTGTAGCAGTGTTTTAGCAAATCGGAAGACAAATGCAATATAAAGAATTCTGTATTTTACACCATCTGGCGGGAAACAAATATGATTTTATGACCAGGTAGGTAATTTAATAGCTGTAATAGGAATTAGGGTGGCAGCAGTGAATAAAAAAGCATTTACTATGGAGTGTTTCTATTTTGAAATGAATCTATCCAGTCAAACTGATGACATCAGTTTATGTGCAGTGAACGGAATGACAGAATTGCGAATAAGTCTATTAATCTCAGTTTTTCTTCAGGTAATTTTAACTTCACTCACATTCTGAAATGAATCTGAGATGATTAATCAGTCGTCGATATTTAGAATTTATTTCTTAAAGTTCAATGTAACAACTTAATTTGTAAATTGATAGCCGACAAGTATGTACTCCTAACGAAATATTAAATCCACCAATAAAAATTAAACACTCAAAATATTGAATCTGTACTTTAATCCATGGGATAACGCCTTCAACTGAAGGTGGAATAGAGGAGAGATTAGTTAAATGTGTGTTTACATTTTGAGGAAATCTCAGAAAGTGACTAGAACATTATTATTTTTTTCTTTGATTGATTTCGATAACTTTGGTTCCGTGGAAACGATGGTCATTTTTAATCATCGCAAAACACAGTGAATTTGATTCGATAAACTAAAGATAAATTATTCGAAACCGTTGTATAAACGTTACGTGGATGACACGCTTATTGTTGGTAACAGTAATGAGTCTATTAGCAAATTCATTACTCTATTTAATAATGTCCAACCAAATATTTGAGTGGCCTAAGAATTTGAATTTGGGCTTCGGGGATATTTCAAAAGACTTTTAGGGACGATGGAACAGCTAAGCGATTCATATTTCGCAGGTAGACGTGGAGTTGGCAATATCTTCAGTCCATCAGTTTTGTCCCTATCCAGTATAAATGTTCCTTAGTGAAATGACTTTTTCCAAGAGCCCGTAAAATTTGCCCGAGAAACACATTGGTGGTTGAGCTACGACGCATACATTCGTTCAGTGACATACAGTAAAGAGATACTGACCCTTGGAAAGACAGCTTCCGTACCAAACAAATCCATCTTTATTCAACTACCTTTCAAAGGTGATCAAATCCTGTAAACGACAGCTTAAATATTTTAATCAGCTGTCAAACTCACATTCTACGACGCATCTCTTTCCCTTACCTCTCTAATATTTTTAATTCTTGTGGCTGTAATTAAAAGACGAAATTTTTTGGACTCCACTTCACACAGCATCTAAAAATTTGTCTACAGTTGCGATGATATATATATACATCCATCTAAATGTCAGGTAGTCAATTACAAATTGAGACGAAAACGTGACCTACATGGCCCCACTATCGTTGATGGCACAGAGGTTGAAATTGCATCTAATGTCAGGTACCTCGGACTGAGTATTTCCTCTGATCTTTCCTGGTCCTCCCACATCTTGCTAGTCACTAGAAAGATGTTTTGCTCAACGTTCTACGTTAGGAAGTTATAGCAGTCTGGTATAAAGCAGTCTTTGCTTTCTCAGTTTGTCAATTCTTGTATTCTACCCATCCCTCTTTACTGCTCCCCATTAATCTTTCCTGGACTCCTTAAGAAAGACTTTGCTTTGCTGAGAAGGGCAATAAAAACCGTTAGTAGGGCAAGTGGGATATCGTTAAACCAACTGGTTAAAACTATGATGGATAGACATATAATATCACGTAAGAAACCAGCGAATACTATGTTGTCATACCCGAGCATCCTCTCTATACGCAGCTCTCTCCTTGCATTTCATCTGGTAGAACTCGAAGCAGCTACAAGAGGCTATATGCTAGGACTAACAAGTACAAAAACTCCACAATACCATATCTGACCCATCTGTTATGTGATGAGAAATCCGTTAGGTATGACACGATCAACTTACTACGGCACTCTAACAAATAGCCCCATTAGTTTTTGTTTTCCTTTCTTCGTTACTATTACACTGTTGTTCTCATCTTCTATCACACACCAATTTTATATTTCATATCCTGTGGTGCATTGTTTAAAATGTAAACGCACCGCTGTTCTTTTTATTTATCTTCTTTTCTGGGAGTTGCTTTTTGATTTTAAAATCTTATAAAATTTATGAGGTAATTAGATGCAATATATTGTAATGCATGCTGAAAATTCCATACCTGTACCACAAATACTGTTTGGAATAAAGCCGTTATTATATATATATATATAGAACCAATATAACGTTCCAATGTCGACGGATAGAACATATTATTAAATGGTCATTAAATGACATAAGAAATCCGAAAGTGGATTAATCTGACTAGAAATCCAGTATCATCCATCACAAAGCATTTATGAATTTCTCGTCACAACATCAAGATGACGTTTGATTATAGTATACTTTACTACTACTTTACTTAAGTCATTTGATGATACTGAAAGCATGAAACCTAAAGAATACCACAACATCTCATTTATTAAGAATTTGATTGTTCGTGTAACGGAAATATTTATTCTCGTATCTTTCCGCTAATATTTTTCAAGAAATTATATGTAATGACAGGTTGTTGCGGACTGAATATGTCTGATTGGTGTTTGTATAGTACTGCTGATTGCATCAGAAAGTCTGTGTTTTTCAATTTTCTTAGTTAATAATTAGGTACTTTGTCTGTCTCTGTCTGTCTGGATTCAACATAGAACTTGGCACCGAAGTGCAGCAGTTCGAGTTGCCACGTTCCAAATAGCACACAGAGGTAGACAAGAAGATGAGTGAAGAGAATCAATAGAGTTTGACAAGTATAAGAGTGAAACAGAATGGGTAATGGTAGAAAGGAATATGAAAGATTACAGAGACTGAATACATCTGCGCCATTGACAACGATTTTGAGCCATGTCACCTATTGTCTCCAGCCATTGATTCCTAGAGTCCCGAGGGCCCCAACCCGGGAGTCTGCATCTCCCTACCTGACTCAGTTTAACTGTCAAGGATTTCATGGATTGATGAGGCCATGTTTTTGTTTGGCCACCACTGGCTCTTTTCCAACCTGCACCTATATCAGCTAGCAATGCCCGTCGGGGGAGGCGGTGGTTAGGCATGCGCAGCACGTGACCTAGCCATCTTAGTCTATGTAACTTTATAGCCTCGTCGATTGATTTTCCCTCTTTGCCCAACACTCTACGCCTAACGTCAA